TGTGGGAGAAGGGTCCAACCTGGCCCCCAGCAGGACCTCAGCTAAGAAGCTTGGGGGGTACCCAGCAGGGAGACTCCTTTCCCTCATCTGCAGCCATCAGAAGCGGCATGAGTTCCTTGCTCCACTTTCTGCGGCACAAGAAACTCTGGTGGGGGGAACAGTAGAAAGGAGCCCCCTGCCACGGGGGAGCCCAGCCCAACCCTCCCCCCACCCCCTCAAGACCCCAGCCAGAAAACTGGGGGAAGGAAGCATGCCTGGCAGGCTGCGTCTCCCTCTCCCTCCCTACCAGAATTTCCCACATAGCAAAAAGTTGCACAGGGAACTCACGCTGTGGCTGCTCCTGCAGCTGGGGAAAAGGAGCACCCCCAGCTTACTGCTGAAGTCTTAGGGGGCTGGGCCGGGCTCCACTGTGGCAGGGAAGCTGCTTGTCAATCCCTCCCGCCAGATTTCCCAAAGCAGCAAAGTGGCACAGAGAACTTGTGCTGCCACTGTTGTCTGCAGCTGGGGAGAACGTGCACCACAGGACCAGGCAGCAGCATAGACAGAAACCCTCTTTCCCCCCTATGCATTCAGTGTAACATCTGTACCTAGCCTTACAGACTACCTAATTGAGAGGCATAAGATTTTCTAGGCAACAACCTATTTCATACATAGCATCTGACAAAATAGGTTACTGCCCATAAAATCTCATGTCTCTCTGAATGAACTAGTCTCTCAGGTGCCCTGCCTTCTGCCTAACTTCAGGCTAACACACCTAATTATCTATCTATGGGGAGAAGACAGGAAATGAAGTTTGCTATCTTCAGAAAGCCCACTACCCCTTGCTTTTGCACAGGTCACTTAATGATATGCACCAGAACACAAAAATTTAATTTTTAAAGTTGTTTCTGAACAGCAATGATTTTCTCCCATCCCAGTTACATCATCAGCTGATAGAACACTATTAATTAATAAAAGCAAAGCTAAAACCATACTTCTGGACACTTTAATACAAGTGGAAAGTACCATCTATAACACAGTTATATGGGAGGCTAGTATTTCTTCTCTGACCTGAAGTCTGTTATTTTCTTTCAGGAACCAGACATAAGTAATACATCTGGGCTAAGAATTTTTGTGATGAAAGCAACTACATAGAATAGATACCATCAAATTTATTTAACAAATTTAGAAGCAGTTAATACTGTATTTAAGTGCTGCCCTCCCTTGCCTCTGTGCCTGGGTGCCAATTTGCTGCACAAAAAGTTCTCTCTCTGTTTGTTTTAATCACTGTTTGGAACTGAATTCACACCAATTAAAGACTGCAAAGAAGTGTTAAAAATAACTCTTACCCTTGTCCTTGTCATGTTGTACTGAATGGTTCTTATTACCACCAGTATAAGGAGACTCCCCAGTGAAATCTCTGTTAGAACACGCTCCGAGTACCAAGTAATATTTTTCAATATCTGCAAAGAAGAACAAAAAAGGTCTTTAACACTATCCCTCAATTATGAATGAGAGGCATAAAATCATACAGTTCCCTGGACTCTCACTTTCCCCAAAACAAATAAATTAGCCTCCACGATCAGCCCATTACAGTGTATTGTGTTCTGGCATCTTACAAAGGACCCTGCAGTATTTTCCAACCTGCAGATCTCATCATGTTGCATTGATGACCTCACATGGAGAGGTCTGGTGTGGAGACAGATAAATAAAAATGCTGGTGTGCTGAACCCACTCACTTTGAGAAGTATCGGTATACACATATACACAAAATGAACGCATCTTGAAAGACAACTTAAGGGACCAGTAACATTCAGTTGATTGATAGACATGGCCTTATAAAGTTGGAGAAATAGTGTACTCAGTACACTTGCGATTACTTCAGACAAGCTAGTAAAAAGAGAGGTTGCTTTACAAGGGTGCTTCTATGGAGAAATTTCATTTTGTACAAATAAAAGTCATTCGTAGGGGATTTATTTAAAAAGAGCACAGCACCACAAACAAATCATATACCAGGGAGCATATGCAGCAGACCTTTACTAGTCAGCCTCTTGTCTTAAAAAACATTCTAAAATGTTACCATTCTTGGGCAACAGTGTCTCTTTTTATCAGGACTTTCAGTGGCACCAGGAACTACCAACACCCTGAACCACTGCCCATGTGAACCTTATGGTTTCATAGTTTCTAGGGCTGGATCTGCTTGCCTTTGAGATGGCAAGCAGATTTCTCCATTCTGAAGCAAAGTAAAGTCAGACGCTCTCCTCTAGTCTGCTGCTCTTTATGGGGCAGAGGATTTACAGGGTAACCCTCCCAATAAAAAAGACAGTGTGGGGACCTAGCAGCCAAAGACAGACATGAAGGAGCAACCAATGAAGCATCCAAGAGACAGGGAATAGATGGGACTTGGAAATATTCAGGCTTCTAGCAACTTCATACCCTTTACACCCACTTCTTTTCTGAGCATAAGGGGGAGGTTAAGGGTCTTTGTATAGTTATAACTCCTGCTAGCAGGAGCGTGGGAGGTGTCTACAGCAAGATGGAGGGAATATGATAAAGGCTTTAAAATCTTTTATGTATCATTTCTTTGAAGGATCTTAAAAAGTTAGTTTGATAAAATTCCATCACATTTAAAAAAAAAAATCATGAACTGCCTTATGAACCACATATAGGCTTCCTAAACAGGGCGGCGGTCAGTGTTCTGAAGTCTGCAGGGGATTTGTAGGTATGCAGCAATAATGTTCCTGACTGCGAAAAGCTTTCACAAAATCTGGAACCAAGGCACGAGAGAGAGAGAGCGCGAGAGAGAGAGAGATGAGTGGTACAGTAAAAGACACTACAGCACCAACTGCAGAAGATAAGTGTATAATGGTATAAAAAAAGTCCTGGCATTGTGATTCAACCCTATCACAGGGCAAATCGCTTCTCCTTTGAAAATAAATATATTAACTATGCCTACACAGCAAAAGCCCTGCGATGATACTATAGTCCATGGCAATGATTTAACCTGGAAGAATATTCTTCTCAGGGCTGCTCAACTTCTCAGTGACTGGAAGCCCCAGCCCCAGGAGCTACACTAGCAGGGATTGCACTAGTGGGGTCCACAGTTCCCCTCCCAAAGCTGCACACGTGTGCACCTTGCCACTGTGCCTTGCTTCACCTGCAGCTCCCTGGGGACTCCCCTGTGGCACCACGCCACATGGGTGCTCTGGGCTGCTGGTTCCCCATGCACCATGCCACCCCACCCCATCCACTGGGGATGGGTCAGGGAGTGGAAGCTGGAGAAGGGAGGGGGAGCCCCAAGCCCCTGGCTGCTGCTGCAGCCAAAGCAAAAGGCTGGGAGCCTGAGGAGGGGAGAAGGGGCCTGCATGTTAACACCTTGCTAACTGAATGATGCCTGATTGAAAGAATAAATGCATGACTTGAGATGCAGAGACCCACAACTCTCGTGGACAGAAATGACAGAGGATACGGTCAGCATTTTTTATATTCAGCTTTTAAATTTACAAGTGAAAGGTTAATTATACAGCATATATTTAAATTATGGGATGGGGTGTTTGCTGATCACCGAAAGAATGTCAGGAGTGCGTGCCACACATTTTTAATTTCCCTACATTTAGTTTGTCATTTCAAACTCAAATTTCATAATTAGGAAATTAATAATTGCTGTAATACATGATGTTCAGGCCATTTACTGATCACATAACACCCCACATGGTTATGTCCCCTCTGCTGCTTTTTAAGCTCTTAAACGCCTTCTATTAAAGGACTTTAATGTCAAACATTATTTCCTAATTAACATATGATTTAAAGGAAAATTGTTAAACCATGTAAAGTGCCTAATGGCTTGTTTTATACTTCAGTGCTCTGTGCCAACTTTAATTTGTATATGGAGAAGTGGCTGGTAGAGATCTGCTGCACTTGCATTCTCCTCTGCCTCTCTGTGCTCTTCCTCCTCTCCCTCTATGCAATCTGCTACTGGCATATTTCATCTGCAGTTAAACAAGCAGACAAGCTGCTTCCCACTTGCACTACTGAGTGCCCATAGCTTCTCCCCCTTTGATGCAGCATGTGCAACTCCCATTAATAACAGCTGTATTTACAAACACATTTTGGAGGGACATGAGACCTCAGACAGCAGCTATCCAAAACACAATATTCAGCATTCATCCCTTTACCTGTTTCTAAGAATTACCATTAACCCTGACATGAGATCCAAAGAGTCAGTTTATTAATGTGGTTTTATCCCACTCAGCCCAGACTTTAGATCTTATGCTTTGCTTTATACTATTTACTATGAATGCTGTTTGCATTAAAGTGCTTTGGAAGAGTACTAGTTTCTTACACTGAAGGGAAACATGGGCAGAAGAATTTCGTAACTGGAGTGAAAGAGGGCTACACCTCAGCCCATGAAAGATCTCAACATATTAGGGACTGGAATCCATATTGTTTGTTACTGGCGTTAGTTTGTGTCCCTTCAATATATAACGCAGTGGATGCAAGTGTTGAAATTTAATCCAGTTTGTTTTTATAACTTTATTATGGAAATTGTGAATCTCAGAATTTTATTAGAAATGGAAAGAAATACATTCATTACCCTTCCAGCTGCCAATGCAGGATTGCTTCCTACAGTGCTTTGTTCAGTCCAGTTTTAAATGACTCAAGCAATTAAGCTTCCCTTGGTAGATTATTCCACAGGCTAACAGATCTCTGTGCTAGGAATTTTTTCCTAATTTTCAGCCTACTTTCTTCTCTTTGCCCAACCTCAACTCATTTCTACTTATACTCCACTAAATCATTACAGGCATTTCCTTTCCCTCAGCACTTACTCTTCAGATGTCATATAACCCTTTTATACAGTTTCACTTTAGTCACCCTCTAGCTAAGCAATATAACTTGTTTCTTTATTTTTTCAGATTTTCTATTAGAAGACTTTAGTATATAGAAAGTTCCCAGAATCACATGCTGCAGGTTCAATCTCAAAAGTAACTTTTTAAGAACTTGCTGATGCCCTTTTTGGTCACAGATGAAGAGATCTTGACTCCCCATCCACCACCATGAAATTATATAACAGATTCAGTCTACTTATTGGTAACTGTATTGGTCAGGGGTGTCAAAGATCCAACCTGCGCAGTCCCATCATCCAGCTCATAGTGCTGCCCCCGGGGGGGGGGGGGGGGG